TTGTGCTGTTGTTCGGGGTGCCGCCAGAGGCAATAAAGTGTTGTGTACTGTTACATTAGAACACTGTCTATTTGCCGCGCCGCGCTAAACGCCTTATCAGTTGAGCGCGCGCGGAGCGGTGCGCTACACGCGAGTAAACGGAGTAGCGGCCCTGTGGCTCGCTAAGCGTGAACCCGCGGTGATCGTCCGCTGCGGTTAGGAGCGGGGTCGTGGTCCGTCTGTTGGAACTGTAAGGCACAGTGAAGCTTCCCCCCCCCCCCCTAAGAACGCTGCAGCAGACAAAATATATGTTTTTGTCTTTCTCATGTGTATTCTGTGTTGTTTTTTTTCCTTCAGCAGCAGTTGCAGAGCGAGGCTGAGGCTAGCTGTTGCCCATTACATGACGCCTTTGCATGCATGGGCGACGACCGGCTGCCTTTGCAGACCGGTATATAGGGTGAATTAAGGAGAGGAGGATGTGGGGATCTGAGGCGCGCCCGCGACCATTTTCGCGGGCATTCCGCCACACGGCCACACCCTTTTGCTTTCCTGCCCTGTTAACACCACGTGGCGATAGATGGCGCCACGTGCGGGCACGGCGCGCGGTACGCGCGCGCCGAGGGAGCGCTCTCTTCTCCGTTGGTCGGCGCCGGGTAAGCACGTGTTTTCCCTCGTCCGCGTCCCCTTTGGGAATCGCCGGACTGCAGCCTGCCTGGGGTGGCCTTGGGCACCTCGGCAGGCGTGTTTACTTGAGTGCTAGCTTCGGTAGCGTACGCTAAGCCCACAGCGGTGCCTAGTGCTTGAAGTGGTCGTACCACAACGAGCCGCACTTGCCGTAGGCCCAGCGCGTACGAGGTTTGCCCTAACACTCGCGACCAGGCCCAGTGGCCATCGTGAGAGTGCGCAGCATAGCCGCGAGGGACCTTTTCCCGACCGGCGTGTCAAAGCTCGCCATTGCCAGCTGCGACGTGCTCGCGGTTTTCCCCTTATTGTGAACGTCCGCGTGCGGGTGCCTTTGCTACCCGCGTCCCGGGAGCGGACGTTGTGCTGTTGTTCGGGGTGCCGCCAGAGGCAATAAAGTGTTGTGTACTGTTACATTAGAACACTGTCTATTTGCCGCGCCGCGCTAAACGCCTTATCAGTTGAGCGCGCGCGGAGCGGTGCGCTACACGCGAGTAAACGGAGTAGCGGCCCTGTGGCTCGCTAAGCGTGAACCCGCGGTGATCGTCCGCTGCGGTTAGGAGCGGGGTCACCATAACTTACAACACTGCAGTTCAGCGAACAACTTGCTACTCACCGTTTTAGCTCGTGTACGGACGCACTCCAACTACCTTTCTCGACGTCTCCTTCTTCAGCAGCCATGGGAATTCATGTCAGTCTTCTAGCGAAGAATACATTTCCCGCCTGGCCCAGTCTCACCATCAGGCTCCCATCAATACTGAAGCCAGACAGCACGAGGGGAAGACCATCTGTGACGAATCCCACCGCGTTGTGTATTTCCAACCTGGTGACGAGGTGTTGCTTTTGACACCTATTTGCACTCCTGGTCTCTGTGACAAATTCCAACCACGCTTCATCAGGCCATACATTGTTTTAGAACAGACTTCGCCGGTTAATTATCGTGTGACACCACTCGTCGCCCCAACAGACCCCCGCTATCGCAGCACAGAGATTGTCCATGTTTGTCGCATGAAACCTTTTACGCGACGTTCCCCGTCACTTTGACGTACGGCGGCCAGGGTGTCCGCTTCCAAGTTGGGGGAATTAGTGTGGGCATTTGTTACTTACATCGTTCTCATCCCTGCATGATCACAATCACAGTCATCCATTTGTCTCTTTGTCCTCATTGCCACTCTGGGTCATCATCATCGTCATCGTCTGTGTACTGGCTATGTCCGTTCGTTTGCGAGGTCTTTCCTCAAATAAACGCTGACGCAGCCAAGACTACCAAGACTATATATATATATATATATATATATATAGTTATCATCATCATCATCATCAGCCTGACTACGTCCACTGCAGGACAAAGGCCTCTCCCATGTTCCGCCAGTTAACCCGGTGCTGTGCTTGCTGCTGCCAATTTACACCCGCAAACTTCTTAATCTCATCTGCCCACCTAACCTTCTGTCTCCCCCTAACCCGCTTCCCTTCTCTGGGAATCCAGTTAGTTACCCTTAATGACCAGCGGTTATCCTGTCTACGCGCTACATGCCCGGCCCATGTCCATTTCCTCTTCTTTATTTCAACTATGATATCCTTAACCCCCGTTTGTACCCTAATCCACTCTGCTCTCTTCTTGTCTCTTAAGGCTACACCTACCATTTTTCTTTCCATTGCTCGCTGCGTTGTCCTCAATTTAAGCTGAACCCTCTTTGTAAGTCTCCAGGTTTCTGCTCCGTAGCTAAGTACTGGCAAGATACAGCTGTTATATACCTTTCTCTTGAGGGATAGTGGCAATCTGCCTGTCATTTTTGAGAGTGCTTGCCGAATGTGCTCCACCCCATTCTTATTCTTCTAGTTACTTCAATCTCGTGGTTCGGCTCTGCGGTTATTACCTGCCCTAAGTAGACATAGTCTTTTACAACCTCAAGTGCACTATTACCTATCTCGAAGCGCTGCTCCTTTCCGAGGTTGTTGTACATTACTTTCGTTTTCTGCAGATTAATTTAAGACCCACCTTTCTGCTCTCCCTGTTCAACTCCGTAATCATGAGTTGCAATTCGTCCCCTGAGTTACTCAGCAATGCAATGTCATCGGCGAAGCGCAGGTTACTAAGGTATTCTCCATTAACTCTTATTCTCCCATTCTAGGCTTCTGAAAACCTCCTGTAAGCACGCGGTAAATAGCATTGGGGAGGTAGTGTCCCCCTGCCTTACACCCTTCTTGGTTGGTATTCTCTTGCTTTCTTTATGAAGCACTATGGTAGCAGTTGATCCCCTGTAGATTTCTTCCAGAATGTTTATATATACTTCATCTACGCCCTGATTCCGCAGTGTCTGCATGACGGCTGATATTTCTACTGAATCAAACGCCTTCTTGTAATCTATGAAGGCTATGTATAGTGGTTGGTTATACTCTGAAGATTTCTCTATTACCTGGTTGATAGTATGAATGTGGTCAATTGTTGAGTAGCCTGTTCGAAATCCTGCTTGTTCCTTTGGTTGATTGAATTCTAATGTTTTCTTTACTCTGTTAGCAATTACCTTTGTAAATAGCTTGTATACTATAGAGAGCAAGCTGATCGGCCTGTAATTCTTCAAGTCCTTGTCATCTCCTTTCTTATGTATTAAGATGATGTTAGCGTTCTTCCAAGACTCTGGTACCCTTCCCGTCAGGAGACACCTCGTAAACAGGGTGGCTAGTTTTTCTAACACAATCTGTCCTCCATCTTTCAGCAGATCTGATGTTACCTGATCCTCACCAGCAGCTTTGCCTCTTTGCATGCTCTCCAAAGCTTTTCTGACTTCTATCATTACTGGTGGGGCGTCATCTGGGTTATTGCTAGTTCTTATAGTATTAAGGTCTATATAGTTATATAAAATGTTTATTGGTCGACGTGATTGAGAACGATCGTTATCCTGGCGGATCATCTTCATCTGGTTGTACGATTGAAGCACAGTAGCTCTGTGCTTTCCCCTTACTTTGTTAACGTGTGACTGTAATCTCCTGTGTGGCTTTCTTTTTTTCGGTTGTTTGTATTTGTGTTTCTGCATGGCACAGGCGTCGGTGTGTCCTCGTTTTTTTTTTTTTTTTTGATACTCGCTCTGTCTTTGCGTCGGTGCACTCTGTAGTTATAAACACACACACACATATGCATGCGTGCGTGCACACACACACACACACACTGAGAAATCACCCCCTTCCTTTTTCGGGAGGTTTGAAATAAGCACTAGATAAGCGGAGATGGTCAATTCATAACCGAGCAACTACCCTCTTCCCAAATCTGGTTGGATTGTCTTTCACCTTGGGGGGGGGGCTCTTGCTTTGAATTTTACGGCATGTGTATTTGTGCGTGTAGTTGTGGTAAGTCTCGTTTTTGTATCTGTACTGAATGTCTAATAAAAAAACAATAAAATATTTTATTTTTCCTAAATAAAAATCCCAATCAACAGTGAAGCTTGTCTGAAGAAATTTACTGCAGAACTATGTCGCATCGCTCCATAACAGACCTTTTTAAGGCTCCAAAGTTACTACGAAGCTTCTCTATTACCATGCCAAAGGCGCTCCAAAATAGCATGATTTTTTTTCTCTCTGAGCTTCTCCAAAGGACTGGAGCCCATCAAACGTTTGTTGTTGGTTGAGCATAGTCTTGTTTTTGCTGGCCACTCTCTACTAATAAAAAATTAATTGATATCTGGGATTTTCAAAACCAATATACGATTACGCGAGATGCACTCTCTACTGATTGATGATGGTCAAAAATCTGTAAGCTGGGGTTGTTTCAAACCGAGATTTCGACAGGCGGACTTGAATTATTCATGTGTAGGACAAAACTGAAGTGTTTCAAGTTCTATGTATTCACTGCAGAGTTCAGCCAGCGTTGTCTCACTGGGCATTACATTTTCTTCTGTGTAATGCTGTTAGCAATTCGCCTTGCATTTAAAGCATGGTGGACCGAGATGTTCGTCTTTCTTTCATATTTTAAGTGTTGCTTTATTCTTTAAACTGTACTGTAAAAGAAAAGCTATGAAGCAAACAAGTAACCAACCCGCTGTGTGAGTGAGACTCAAGATTGCGTGGCCTTCAACCGCTTAGCACCTGCTGTTTTTTGAAGCTCATACGGGGCTTCACTTGACATTCACACTTTACATGACCGAGCCTGTAATTTATAGTTGCATGGATTTATATGACATGTGCAAACTGTAAAATTATTTTCTACTTAAGGCACATGTACGAATGGACTTGTGTGGCGAAATAATGTGTAGGCGGGCTGACAGAGAAGGTGTTACGCAAGAAGAGGTGCCCACGATCGCGCTTTGATAGAGCTAACAATATCTTTTGCTGTTCTGTTGTTTCAGGTGCTCGTGTCTCGGCTTATGGAATTGGTGTCATCAGACCGGGAGTCTTGCCAGCTGCAGTGCCTGGAGACTCTGCGACTGCTGAGCAGAGACCGTTGCCACCTGGAGGAGGTCTTTTCGGCAGACGTGCTGGCTCAGCTAGCACGCTATGGCCCAACTCGCTGGGCGACCCAGCGAGGAGCTCGGCCAGCTAGAACAACTGCATGCTCCAGGTGAGACCAGTTGGCTAAGTGAAAGATGAATAGAAGCATTACAAGATGTCCTTTAGATGGTTTTTCTGAAGTGCAGCTAATTTTGATTTTTTTTCCTACATGTTCACGGTGTTTCAAGCTGTGCAGGCTGCATTTTTTTTCTTTCTCCAAGCTTTTACATTAGAATTCATTTGTTTTTGTGGTTTCTCAAATACCTTGGTTGTGATCTTCTTTTCAGTGAGTGAAATAGTTCTGTACATGAACAAATAAAATGTAACTAACAAGAAAGAAGAGGGTGAAAAAATAACCAGCCATGAGCAGGAATCGAACCTACGACCTTCGATAACGCGTTCGATGCTCTAACCACTGAGCTATCACAGCGGTCTTCCCACCGCCCACTTTTCTGGGTTTATATGTGAATTTAGAAGTGGCAGTGTCAGTAAGCGCCCTCTGTAGCCAAGCGGCGTGTGTGAAACACTCTTTTATGCGCATGTGTGGCGTCACGTGACGCCACACATGCGCATAAACAACACATGCGCCAAACACATGCGCCACACATGCGCATACGTGACGCCATATATATATATATATATACGTGACCCCATATATATATATATATATATTGTGTGTGTGTGATTCTTTCTCGTCATGATTCTTTCCAGTTTTGACCTTGTGCCTCATCTTTCAAATAACAGTCCTTGTTCACTTGAACATTCATGCAGTGGTGGAAGAAAGGTGTCACCTCATTTACAGCTTTTATGAGAATGTATAAACACACATGGACGAATACACACGGACACTGGAATGCATTTTTTGGCTCATACTGGCAGATAGCATCTGTGAATGATAAGCTGATGAGTAAAAATATCGAAGCTTAAAACATTGTTAGATTAAGTCCCGTACGCCTCAGCATGTCATCTGTCAACTTATATATAGTAAAGAGGTTGCGTTTCAGAAAAGTTTATGTACATGCCTGGTGGTGCTTGTGTGGTGCATAAAAACTGTGTGCGCAGGAAGTAAACTTTTGTTTGCAGATCTTTTAGTACCTGTCTTGTTTGCCCACTTCAACACTTAGGATTATGAACCCCCAAGCCCAACTTGTAAAAATAGTTGCCCCAGGATAGCCAAGGACTAGCTCTAAGAGGGCCGCCCTTCCAGTTTTTGCTGTGACTGTGTTGTGTTTTCTGTGCAGGCCTGGTGATTTTATGGGTTTTGATTAATTCTAATATGATATTACGTGAGCATATCAAAAGTCATGGTTTTTTGAAAAAAATATAGGTGATTTTGCTCACAAAGCTGAAATTTGGTACTCAATCAGAGGCAAGTAAGAAACACTACAGGGTCAAAAATATCGTGTACTGTACCTCTCTTGTGGAGCACGTGAAATTTTACAACAAAATATTCCTTGAGCTTATAACTTGATTCACCCTATCGTACACTTTTAAGAAGAGATGCTACTTGAACAATACAAGTCTTCTTCAAAAGTACATATTTTTTATTTTGCTTGCTTTCACAAGTTTACTTGATTGATTGATTAAAACTTTATTTTGGTCCTGAGAAGACACAGGGGAGACCCCGTGCCATCCGGCTAATCCCACGTAGCGACTTGGCGGCCTGTTCACGGCCACTCTGGATGGCCAGGGTTTGCTCGTTAAGTTTGGGGCTGCGTAAGAGCGCAGCTCACCTGTCCTCGCTGAGAGCGGAGCCGATGGCTTTACATTTCCACAACACATGGATGAATGTTGCTAGCAGTTCACAGGCGGGGCAATCCGCACTTGGATAGCGTTCAGGGTACATGGCATGAAGAACCACAGGGTTAGGATGCGCACTAGCTTGCAATAGTTGTAGGGTGACTGCCTGCACCCTGCACAAGGCAGGGTGTGGGAGGAGGAATATCCTTCTTGACAGATAGAAGTGTTTTGGTATTTCGTTGAACGTAAGTAAGGGTTCCCAGTGAGGCAGAGGGACTCCAGAGGCGGCGTCGTCAGCGAGTCCTCACGCAGGCCTCGTGTGCGCCCTTGTTAGGGTTAGAGGTATAGCCCTTAATCGACCCCAGGTGAGCGGGAAATCAGGTGAGAGAATGGGGCGTGAAACACTTGACGCTTTGGAGAATGCGGAGGGCCTGAGGGGCTATCATCCCGGTTTCGCCGCCTTGGAGTTGCTGTATATTGTCTCTCTGCGACTATCTAGCATAGCCAGCGCAATGGCAACTTGTTCGGCTATCACGGGCTTCGATGTGCGTACCGTGGCGGAGCAAGTGAGCCTGGAATATTAGTTGACGATGGAAACAGCGAATGCCTTTTGTTGGACATATGGCACAGCATCCACAAAGCTTGCATCAGTGGGGTTGCTACGGACGTGCTCGAGCAGAGCTCTACCCCTAGCCTACGCCGACCGACGTTGTGCGCAGGGTGCATATTGCGGGGAATGGGTGTGATGCGCAGTTGAGATCTGATGTTTTGGGGAATCCGCATGGAATCGGGGCACTGGTCAATAGAGTTAAGGCCCAAACGGTCGAGTATCTTGCGGTCCGATTTGGTTCCGGAAAGCCTGAGCAGCTGTGAGCGCTCTTGCGTCTCGATTATCGCTTCGAGTGTATTGTGAACACCGAGCTTGAAAAGGTTTTTAGTGTGAGTGCTTACAGGCAAGCCGAGCGCGAGCTTGAAGACCTTTCTTGTGAGGGAATCGAGCTTACTCCTCTCTGCAACATGCCAATTATGCATGGCCGCCGAGTACGAAAGGTGGCAGAGCACAAGCGCATGTATGATGGGATGAGATTGTCTTCCTTGATTCCCCGATGTCTGTTAATGATCCTCGGGATGAGGTCGAGGGCACTTTCCGTCTTGGTAGTGATCTGTCTGAGTGCAGCTCCGTTAGCGCCGTTATACTCGATATACATTCCCAATATTCGGAGTGAATCCACTCTGGGCACTGGGGACCCATCACCAGTGAAAAGTCGTATTTCACTTTGAGACGCAGGTTTCCAGTCACGGTGGCCGCCGCCTCGGGGTCTTTTCTTGTAGAGCAGAAGTTTAGATTTTGATGGGGAGCACCTGAGACAGGTGGGACGGAGAAAACGTTCGGTCATGTCGATTGCGCGCTGCATGGCTTCCTCAACTTGACCATCGCTCCTGCCGGTGCACCAGATAGGTTATATCATCTGCGTAGATGGTACGATTGATTCCTTGAACCTTCGTGAGTTCCTTGGAGAGCCCAATCATCATGATGTTAAATAGTGTTGGTGACATAACTGAGCGCTGAGGCGTGCTGCGTGAACCTAGGTTGATCTCTCATGAGAAGTACTCTTCGATTTTGAGCTTGGTAGTTCTCTGGCAAAGAAAGGATCTCACGAAGTCGTACACCCTCTTTCTTAGCCTTAGGCTGGCAAAAGACTGGAGAATGAATTTGCGAGAAATGTTTTCGAAAGCCTTCTCCAGGTCTAATCCAAGGTTGGCTCTGGTGTCTCCTGTGCTCTGGTCTATAATCTGATACTTTACTTTCTTTACTTTTATGACAAGTCAGAAATCATGGTTGTAGTTAAACTGGAAATAAGCTAAGATTGCCTTGAAACAGCTCAAGGTGGCTATTAAAAATTAAATACACCTGGCTGCTTGCCATCGCATTTCATATGAGGAGTTCTCGAAACCACATGCTTGGAGTGACTGTGATTTCTAAGCTCGCATAATGAAAAAAAATTATTTAATGGTCATTCCACGCCAAATGTCCCAGCCATTTTAGCGGCCATCTCAAATTTATTTGAAAAAAATCTTGCTGATTTACTGCATGGAAAACAGTGAACTGCTAGCATATTTTGGACAGACAGACAGACACAAAACTTTATTGAGGTCCTGAGGAACACCACCTTAAGGAGGTAGAGCAGCGGGCCGCTCCCACGTCGGATTGGGTGGGCTAATCCTCACCGCCGCGTCCTGGGCCCTCTGGATAGCCCTCAGTTGATGTGCAAGTTCTGAGCTCCTGAGCGCAGAGCTTCATTCCTTTTTGGTCAAGCGCTGAGAACTGCGTATTGAGGGGCACTGCAAGAGCATGTGGCCTAACGTTGATACGGGGCCACAATCTGGGCATGTTGGATCAATGCGTTCAATGAACTGGCTGTGGGAATGAAGACTGAGGTACGACCTGGTTTGAAGCATGCAGAGAATAGATGCCTGGGCCCTAAAAAGTTTCATATGAGAAAGGGGAAAGACCCTTCTGTCCAGCTGACAGTGTTTGGTCACCTCGTTGAAAGTCGGAACATCCCTAAGAAACATTAGGATGCCCAGCATGGTGAGTAAGTTCGTGTGCTTGGGCATGGGCGATCTCGTTTAGGTTTGCCATGGAGACCAGATGTGATCTTAGGTGAGCCGGAAACCAAATTATGGGGTGTTCAGATATATCTGTGACCTAACATGCGAATTACTCCAGCCAATACCGATCCAGATGCAAAGGTTTGCACCGCCGCACGTAAGTCTGTATAGATGTGTTGCCGGGAATCATCAAGGAGAGCGAGAGCTATGGCTGCCTGTTCAGCTTTAGGGAGAGTGGTGTTTCTGATAGACGTGGAGGGAATAACACAACCAGCATGGTCAACTGCAACGACCGAGAAGTTCGCTGTTCGACCGTACTGTGCGGTGTCTACGAAGCATGCAGACTTTGGGTTTGCACGAACACTCATGAGCAGTGCCTCACCCTTGGCCTCCCGCCTGTTCGCGTTGTGCTGCAGGAGTAGGTTTCAGAGGAACGGAGCGACCACAATGTTGGACCTTTGCTTCTTGGTGAGAGATTGACTATGTTCTTCTACCGCACTATACCCTAGGATTGTCGGGATGCTACTGCCTGCGGCTGAGGAAGAGAGCCTTCAATGCTAGCCTGCGGCCGTTCTCTTTACTTTGGCAGAAAGCTTCTTTAGATGTGTACAAACATTATTCATGGCAGTAATTAGATAAATTGAACATTTCGCCTCCTACACAATTAAAAACCGCCCCACCATGGTGGTCTAGTGGCTAAAGTATTCGGCTGCTGAC